CATCGAGGCGCGCGGGGCCGGGGCCCTCTGGGGCGCGGCGGCGTCACGGGGCCCAGTTGCGGCCAGCCTGGAAGCGGGTGATCGAGCATGATGGCGCGCGGCCCATTCATTGGCAGTGCCCTCGTCAGCTGGCCTCGCGGATCTATCGGATCAGCGTCTCTGCGACATTGGATCGAGGCTCGTCTGCGGCGGTCTTTTCGTTTTGCCGTTGAACCCGGAGAGCTGGATCGACGGTGAAGAACGGCGCGCGTGGCCCCATCTTCCACGACATAGTCCTTGCCCTCGAGAACGCCGCGAGAATTGGTGGGAATGATAGGCCCCCCGACACCGCGCGAGACTTGCCGCGCGCGTCCGTCGCCGCGCGGGTCGGGCCATTCGATGCGTACTATTCTATTGCGTTCGCCAGAGCCCTCGGGGCCGCGCCAGGGCGCGCAGCTCGGCATCGCGCGCCGCTGCCCAGAAAGGCTCTCGCGCTACTCGCGGCCTTCTGTTGCGCCGCCCCCGGCGGCGCTTTTATTTTTGCGCGGGCGCTGGACAGGTCGCGACCGACGATCGCTTGGCTGTCGCCACTGCCTCCAATGAAGTGCAGCCTGCTTCCGCATGTGCAGGGGCTGCCCATGCTCGATCGGCTGAACATGTCCAGGACATGTTCAACCGACTCACTGGGCACAGGCGCATCCTTGCACTGCATGGGCGGGCTTGTCCCTGGGGCCCAGCAGGCCGTCGGGGCGCGGTTGTTTTTTTTCCTTTTCCGGGGCTCTTCGCAGCTGCTCCTGGGGGCATTTCGGCGCGCCTCGCGCTTCGTTTCGCAGCGAGTGTTAGAGACGCGCCCCCGCCTAGCGTTAGCTTAGCGGGGAACATTTCGCCTTGCGTTCTTGAGTCGGCCCCTGGGCCAGATGGGCTTGCGCGCAGTGCCTGGGCGGTGGGTGGCGGCCCAGTGGTGGCCGCGGTAGTCTTCTGAGCGCCAACTGCTGGGCATTCGCTTCCTCTGCCGTTCTTCTAGTCCGGGGGCCTGGGGCCAGTCTGGGGGCCCGGGGCCGGTCTGGGGGCGGCCCGAACTCGCCCTGCAGATGACAGATAACACTAGGCCGCCCTCTTAAGAGAATGCCCTCAGCAAATGCGCGTCTGCGGCCATCAACCAGCCTCTGGCATGGATCGATCAAGCGGCCATCCCGAAAATGCAAAACTGATTTTCCAGGGGGGGCCTCTTCCGAAGAACGCGCGCGCTCGACGCTTTCTCTCGGGTCAGTTCCATCACGAAGGGCCCTCCCCAGCGAGGCACCCCCAGAGAGGAGCGGCTGCCTCTGCGTCTCTCGTTTGACTTTGCCCAAGCATGTCCCAGCGTCTCCCAGCGTCGGCTTCTCCTCGCCCGTCGCTTACGTTCACTGCCTTCTAAGCTCATCGCAGCAGTGCAGCTGCCATGCAATCTTAACGCGCGCTGATTTCATGGAGGAGGGGTGCATGCCCCGTTGTCTACTCTCCTCGCAGGGGAACTTCAAGGACGCCCCATCAAAGGCTCAGTTCACGCGATCGCGTCGAGCCGTTTCCTGGGCGACATGGGGCGCACAGTGGAGGCCCCGAGACACGCCGTCTCTCGAGCGCGTGCAGATGATGCGGGGTCGGTGTCGCTCGCTGCCACGGGGTCGCGCCGACTGGGTCGCGTCTTCTCCCTCGCCCCGAAGTTCGCCCCCTAGTCTTCAAAACGTCGAGGAGTTTTCCGCGGAAGTCGAGGGGCCTGCTCGTAAGTTTATCGTGCTCGCTTTTCTGTCTTGGGCGAATGCCCAGGTCGTGCTTTTTTTCTCGAATAGCTTTGGGAGCTGGTTGGCCCGTCTGTCACGCGCCGACCAGTGAAATGCTACGTGGGCGAAGCTAGAACTGCGCGCGCGAGCTGCGAGCGAGACCTCGGTCGATCTCAGTACCAACCCCTTCTACTACCGTGCTCGCGCTCTGCCGTTCCCATCTTATAATGCTTTGTTGTTCCCGCCCCCATCGTCCGTTGGCTGTTGAAGAGCGGCGTCGTTTTTCTTCGTTCTGGCGAACCTCGAGCTCGATTCTGACGTGGGGCGGGCGGGTGGATTTTGGAGGGTGGGTGGGTCCTAACTCTCCGTCGAGCTGGGTCCTGAGTTGTGCGCCCTGCTAAGAACAGCCCTCATTTCTGTGACCCTGGCCGCCCTGGCCGTTTCAGCTTGCCCCATTGCAGTGCTCTATCAGAGAGGTTGGTGCAACAGTGTGGCTCCATCGTCTTTCGCTCGCCTCGCCTTCCTGGCCCTCCCCCGTCATCGTCGTCTCGCTTTCCCAGGCCCCGGGCGGCCTCGGGCTTCCCCGAGATCGGGGCCTCGCGGAGGCTGGGCAGGAGTGTCTTACATTCTTCCGAGAGGCCGAGCCAGCTCGTGGACGCCCGCGCTGGCAGGCACGGTTTTCCCTCACCTTCCAGGCACGCCTTTTCAATTCTGACACTACTCCACTCTTTGATCGCCGCGCCACCAAGTGGTTGGTTCCGAGGGGTGGAGCTTGGCTGGTGGATTGGGGGGCGATGAGGCTCTTCCTGTTGCGTGCGTTGCCCCTCGCTAGGTCTTCGGCGAGTTTGGCGACGTGGCTTGGAGATTGGACGACATCCAGGCGCATGCAAAGGACGGCCCGCGGAAACATATTTGAATGTGCTGGCTGTGCTGACTCCGCGTCGCACTATATCCTCGGGCTTCGGTCTTTGGAGGTCCTCGTTCGGAGCGCGCTATCTCGAAATGCGCCGGCTGACACGTCGCGGCGCTTCGCTTTTTTTGTCAGAATATTCGCATCATTTCTCTGCTGATGCCGCATATTTCAATGCGCATCGTCTCGCCGCGTTGTTCGGTAGTGCTCGCATCCGGGCATCGTCGATCCGAGCTGCTATGCGATTGCCTCTCCTGGGTCCTCATGTGCAGCTTTGGTTCCAGCGGTGAGGTTCGATGCATGGCTGGTCGATGAATCCCTCTGGGCACGCTCGATTTCCTGTGGCAGTGTCGCGGAACGGTCGGAGCAGAGTGGAGTTAGTGGAGCGAAGCGTGCATTGCTCATCTGTCTTCGCCTGGCCGCTGCTGTCGCGGCTCTAGCGGTCGTTCTTTTGGCGGCGGATAGGGGACTTCGGCTGGGGCTCACACTTCCCGAAGGCCGCCCCCGCACCCCCGGCCGCATAATTATTCGGTTCCAGTGTCTCGCCGCGCGCGCTGGCCATACCTACCACTGCCAACGCGTGTCTCTCGCAGACGCGCGCGCGGGGTGCCCCTGCGCCGCTGGGCTCTTGGGCGGTCGCGGCGGCCGTCAGTTTCGCGTTCGGGGCGGTGGCGGCGCTGGCGGCGCAGGCCACTTCGCGCGGGTGCGCGTGCTCTTCTGGGGCCTCGGGGCGAAGGCCGCCGGCAAGGAGGTGCTGCTCTCGCCGCAGGGCCGCGGCGCCGAAGCGGAGGGTCGTGCGCGGAGCGCTCAACCAGCAGGTTGTGGACGCGCTCTTCATCGACTACGGCGAGGAGGGGGGGGCCCGACACGAGGCTGGCGCTGGCAGTGGCGCCGGGCGCCGCGCGCGTGATCGCGACGCCGGACAGGGGCGTCTACGCGGAGACCTACGACACCGAGCACGTGGCGGACTTCAAGCAGGCCGGGCCTCGCGGCGGGCCACCGCCAGGGCTGGGGGCAGCGCGCGGGCAGCCGGCGCACCGCATCGCCAATCGCGTGGTGGGCGGCGAGCTCGCGGCGCTGGCGAAGGAGGCAGAGGAGCTGGCGGCGCAGTTGCGCGAGGGCCTCGGCCTGGCGGCGATCGAGCCCGGGCCCGAGTTTGAGCCGGCGGCCGGGCCTCCTTTGCCGCCGCCGCCGGACGCGGCCGAGGAGGAGCTGGCACGCGCGAAGCGTGTGGCTTGGTGCTGCGTGGTGGAGTCGGCGGCGGTGAAGCTGGGCGCGGTTTTCCCTCTGCCGGATCGGTTGGGCACGCCCTCGGAGGTCTTCATGGCCATCGAGAGCTACGGCGTCTACGGCTTGGGTCGCAGGCGGGAGTCGGCGATCGCGATGCGCCTGGATCCGGGCCAGGAGGCGCAGGAGGCGCTGCGCAGCCTCAGCGCGCGGGCTGGAGGAGGAGACGGAGTCGGTGGCGCCGGGGCCCCGCCCGCGGCCGCGGAGGATGCGCGGACTCTGTCCATCCTGAGGGACTCGGCGGGCGGGAGGTTCAGGGCCACGAGGAGCGTAGCGGAGAGTGCTTGCCTCGGCGAGTTCGAGGACTGGGCGCTGTCAGGGCCGCGCGCCACTTTGGATGTCGTGGGGGAGATTGCCGAGATGAGCGGCGGCCCAGTGCAGCGTCGCACCGCCTGGAAGCATGAGAACAAGCTGAATGATGACGAGTGCACGGTGCCACGAGATGGCGTCGGATATTCTCGAGCTGGCAGGCACCTGCGACCCAGTGGACGTGGCCAACTTAGCGCCTCTCGAGGCGCTCGCCAGGCACGTGCAGTTCATCGAACATGAGGTCAATATGAGAAAGGAGACGGGGAAGGAATTTGACGCGCAGGACTACTACCTGGGGCGCACGCGGCGCCCAGGAGGAGCTATCGTGAGCGCAGAGCTGCTGGAGTGGGTGGCCGAGTCGGTGGCCCGCGATTCGGCCATCTTGAAGGAGGGGCGCAAGGCGGCGGAGGAGCGCGCGTTGGCGCGGGCTCCTCCGAAGAAGTCACGATGCTGAATGAGGCTGGGGCGTGGCCGACCCCAGCTGGTGCCATCAGGCCGCTGGGGCGAGTGGTGCCCAGGGATGTTCTTCCTCTTCCCTCGGTCAAGCTGCCCAGAGAAGCGGTCGCAAGTTTGCCGTGGGCCGCCGCGTGAACAACTGCATCGCCGCCCTGGGCGCCATGCGCGGGGAGGGCGACTCTTGCGCGAAGGCGCGACCTTCGGAGGCACAGCTTTCCGCTGCGGATATGGTTTGGCGGGCCGCACCAGACGGTGCCCCGCCGAGCAATGTTCCCAGCCCCGAGACAGCCCAAACGGAGTTGCTCTGCACCGAGACTTTGGGCTACGGCTCGGAGGGCTCTACTGTGGTTGCGCCGTATGAACGCGGTCTGGCTTCGTGGCCCGAGTCGGCGGGCTGCGTCAGCTTCCTCCAGGTGCTGCTGGAGCCAGACTACCAGGAAGTGCTCAATTGTAAACATTCGCTGCTACTTCGCGCTGATGAGGTCCTCCCAGGGCCTGCGAAGGTCTATTGGGGTAAGACTGTGCGCGAGAACAGGGATGAGTACGTTTGCTTCGTTCAGGACCTGCTCAGGCGGGACATGGTCGAGTTGCGTCCTCGTCGTGATTTTGGAGTGGTTTTCTCAGCGCAGAAGTAGGGGCGATTGCGACTTATTGCAGACGCGAGGGCGGTGAACCAGGCCCTTCGACGCCCGGCTACGATTCACTTGGCGTCCACCGCGGCGGTGGCGGGCTTGGGCGGAGCCAGGCGACGAGCTCGAGCTGTCGATTCAGGACATCGCAGATTGCTTGTATCAGTTCAGGGTGCCCGAGTACATGGCCCCGTAGTTCGGCATGCGTCCGTTGTGGGCTGGCGAGCTTGGGGTGAACACCACGCCAGAGGCTTGGGTCTACCCTTGCTTGAAGGTGCTGCCGATGGGCTTCTCGTGGGCCGTGCGCTGCGCCCAGCGGGCGCATCGTGAGCTCCTTCGTCGCGGAGGGCTTGGGGGCATCGAGGGCGGGCTGGTGGATCGCCAGCTGGCGCCAGTTGTGGCGGCCATGTCTGCGCCCAGGGCGGCGCGCGTGGACAGCGAGATCTTCGTCTCGAACAGGGCTGGCGGCTCGAGGGGGGCGCGGAGGCAGGCCGCCAAGGTGATGGCGGGCGTGGGCCTGCCCTTGCACGATGTCGAGGTGGGCGAGAACTTGGTGGAGGCGCTCGGGCCGGAGCTAGACGGCGTCGAGCTCAGAGCGAGGCTGGCGCAAGGGAAGCGCTGGCGCCTCCTGCAAGGAGCGAAGGCGCTGCTGCGGCAGCGCAGGGCGGCCAGTCGGGAGGTGGAGAAGATGGTCGGGCATTTCGCCCGCGCCATGTTGCTGAACAGGCCGTCGCTGAGCGTCTTTAGGTCGGTCTACGACTTTGTTCGCAAGCACTACCGGCACCCGGTGCCGCTGTGGCCTTCGGCGAGGCAGGAGTTCGCCAACGCCGTGGGCCCGTTGCCGCCGCTGGCCGCGCAGTTCGACCTACCTTGGTCAAGCTCGGTGACCTGCTCAGACGCGACGCTCAGGGGCGAGGCCGCGCATGGGGCCAGCATCGACCCGAAGGCTGTGCGCGACGTGGCGCGGAGGCCGCGGGAGCTCGCGCTTGAGACGGATACCGACGGAGACATTTAATGTTCTTCCTCTCCTTCTCATCATCCGCTTCGCGATCCATTGCGTGATGTTCATCGGTCTTGTTCATGGTGGTATTATCGGGCGTCGTGCTTCGGAGGGCTCCCGAGGACTTCTCGAATCAGAACTCGAGCACCATCAAGCTCTTCATGCCCCAGAGGGCCTTGGAAAGCTGGTGAAGCTCTTGGCATTTCAGGAGGACATGGGCGCGCACGTCACCATTGACCCTGCCATTCCTGCGATCCCCAAGAGATTCATAGATGATGCGAATTGGAAAACTATTCCAGCGAGGAGATATCACAGGAAGGAGGCGACCCATCTCAAAGAGTTGCGCGCGGTGCTGTTTGGGCGGAGGAGAAAGTGCAGACAGAAAGTTCATCATCGTCAGCGCCATTTGTTTCTCTGTGATGGTATGGGAATGGTCCTGAGCCTGGAGAAAGGTCGCGCGGCGTCGCCACCTGCGCTCGTCTTGCTCAGAAAGTGGGCCGCGCTGTCTTTGGCCACTTTCTCGCGCGCCAGCGTGCGATGGGTCGCTAGCGAGCTCAACCCAGCCGATGAACCCAGTCGATGGTTCGACTCGCTTGCCGAGAAGGCGGCCGCTGCTGCGCTGGGGGCCCTGGCGCGAGAAGGCGCTGAGGCATGCACCAGCGCTGGGCGCGAGGGCCGGTGCCAGCGGGCCTGGGATTCGCGCGACGCCGAGGACCGCTCCAGTGCCCGTCGAGAGGGTTGGCGCCGCCGCGCTTGGGACGTCGCGGGGGCGCGCGTTGCCGGGGGCGAGATGCGCGCAGGGCGCCGGCCATTTTCCGGCGCCGCCGCCGCCCGCGAGCGGGCGGCCAGCCAAGGTGCCCAGAGCGGCAGCGGGCCAGGGGCCAGGGGCGCTGGATCGCGCGGCGGCGTCGGCAGAGAGGGTCAGGCGACGGCGCGCAGAGTCGGGGCTGGTGGTCCAACCGCGCGGGAGCAGGAGAGCGCCACCCTCACGGCGAACCAGGACTACGAGAAGAGGCGGACGCAGTTCGACGGCTTTTGCAAGACGCTCGGGCTCGTAATGGAGAACGACGGCGACTCGGTCAAGGCCTTGCTGATGCACATGAACCAGCAGCGGGCAGCGCTGGGAGTCGTGCTGACGGCCGACGCCTACCTCCGCCCAGGCGAGCTGCGCTCGCGGAGGGCGCACCACGTCGCGCTGGAGCAATCGCTGGCGAACGGCGCGGGGAAGGGCGTGGCCACCGAGACCAGAAGCTTCACCGACGCGGCCCTGCTGCGCAGCCCCGCAAGGTCGCTCCTGGCGTTGCTGGTGCCGAAGCTTGCAGCCAGCCTGCCGCCGACGCAGCGCCTCTTCCCGTTAGCGGGCGCGGCTTTCCATGCCATGTTCAAGAAGGGGGCAGCGCTGGTCGGGCTGGCCAACTGGGGGCCGTCGCCCACGCGCGATTGGCTGACCAGAGCAAGAACGCTGTCGGACCTCAGCTTGCGCCGCTACGAGAAAGGCTCCAGCAGGATGCGGCGTCTGGCCAGCGTCGACCACAAGAGGCGGCTGCTGCTGGCGGAATTCAAGGTGCAGCTGGAGGTCGCGCTGGCTTCGGGGCAGCCGAGGTGCTTCGCGCGCAGGCGCCAGGGAAGGGGGCGGCCGCCGGCCAGCCGCACTTCTTGGAACTCATCGCGGGCGCCAAATGCCCAAGAAAGGCCCTGCCGCGTCGGGGCTGGCGCGCGCGGACTTGGGGGCTGGGCGTTTCGAAGACGCAGGATCCGACGCGAGAAAAGTGATGCAGGAGGTGCTGAGTCTTGTGCCTGCAGCGTCGCATGTGCACTTCGGAACGCCTTGCAGTCGTTTCTCAGGAGCTCGTCGGTGTAAATTAGGAGCGCCAGGTGGCCCTCTGCGGTCTGTTCAATTCCCTGCTGGCCTGCTTCACCTTTCTTCTTCTGATGCGGCTAAGGTGAGGGTGGGTAATGCGTTGTTCAGAGTCACTTGTCGTATAGTTCGTGCGTGTATGGGACACAGGGTTGTTGTGACGGTCGACAACCCTCGGACGTCCCGGTTGTGGAGCCAGCCCCAGATGCAGATGCTTTTGTCCAGAGCGCGCACAGCGCACGGTGTGTGCCGCAGATTCGGCACATCTTGGCGCAAGCAGGCGATTTCAATCGCTTGCTGGATTGCACAGTGCGATGTGTTGCAGCCTCCCAGCGCGCAGTGCCACGGCCCCACTTGTTCCCTACCTAGGCTCTGCCTAGAAGGGCTCTTACTCGCTAGGCTTAAAGGGGCCGGGCAGTGCAAACCGCCCCGGGCGGCCCCCCCAGTCCCCTGGGAGCCAAGCGCAAGCAACAGCAAAGGTAAAAGCAAACGCGCGGTTCCCCCAGTTGCGCCCCCTGGATGCCGAGCAAAAGCAATAGCAAAGGCAAACGTGAAGGCAAAAGCGAAGGCAAAGCAAATGCATAGCACAGCAAATCAAAGCATATCATAGCATAACATAGCATAGCGCAGCATAGCATAGCGCAGCATAGCATAGCATAGTATAGCATAGCAAAGCACAGCCTAGCCTAGCCTAGCCTCGCCCAGCATAACATTGCGCAGCATAGCATGCCATATCATAAGATAGCATAGCATAGCATAGCACAGCATAGCGTAGCGTAGCGTAGCATAGCATAATATAGCATAGCATAGAGCAGCGCAGCATCCACTATTGCTGCTGCTGTGTATATATACACACACATATATATATATATATATATATACTTACCCGTTACGAAAATTATTCATCTTGAGCACTGACGACAGGGCGTCTCCGAGTGGCCCCCCTTCCCCCCGTAGACTCCTAGCACGGCAGTCTTCGGCCTGGCTTGGCGGGAGAGATTTCCGGGGTTCTCCCTGGTAGCATTAATAGTATATAACCAATTCAGGATAAAATCCCTCCCCCGTAAATTCACAAGGGAGAAATCACTCCCGGTCACTTCCAGGCAACTCTGAATCTCTCCCCGTGTGAAACCACAAGGAATAATCACTCCCATGCCACTTCTCACCACAGCGCCCACACATGTCAATTTTAGCCAAGATGAATTAACTTTCGTAACGGGGATGAGGACCCGCGACTTTTTCACACGTCGATGTCAGCCGATGTCAGGAGGAACCCAAATTCGACATCCGAACGGGGCCCAGCATCACGCTCGATAGACACGTCGCCATCATCATTGCCGCCGCTGCTTCGCTGCGACGACTTACTGCGCATCAGAGCTGTCCCGATTTCGAGCCCCGCCTTGGGCGGGGCCGACCGTCTGTTGTTTGCGTTCGCGCCTGAGGCGGATACGGATTTCGCGCTCGCGTCGGGGCAGCGTCCTTTGCGGCGTCGCCATTGGGCTTCAGCGGTACTGTGTGCACTCGGCGTGCCAACTCCTGCATGATTGCGTCTTTGCTCGCTGCGTGCTTGCGGTCTCGCATGACACCAGGTTGACGTCAGAATGGTGCTCTCGCCGTCGCGTTGACCACCGTTTTTTTGCTTGTTGTTTGTGATGTGTTTTCTGGCTACGTGTCTCACCCTTGTAGAAGTGCAATGTAAGATACCGCTTACCCGTTACGAAAGTTATTCATCTTGAGCACTGACGACAGGGCGTCTCCTAGTGGCCCCCCTTCCCCCCCGTAGACTCCTAGCACGGCAGTCTTCGGCCTGGCTTGGCGGGAGAGATTTCCGGGGTTCTCCCTGGTAGCATTAATAGTATATAACCAATTCAGGATAAAATCCCCCCCCCGTAAATTCACAAGGGAGAAATCACTCCCGGTCACTTCCAGGCAACTCTGAATCTCTCCCCGTGTGAAACCACAAGGAATAATCACTCCCATGCCACTTCTCACCACAGCGCCCACACATGTCAATTTTAGCCAAGATGAATTAACTTTCGTAACGGGGATGAGGACCCGCGACTTTTTCACACGTCGATGTCAGCCGATGTCAGGAGGAACCCAAATTCGACATCCGAACGGGGCCCAGCATCACGCTCGATAGACACGTCGCCATCATCATTGCCGCCGCTGCTTCGCTGCGACGACTTACTGCGCATCAGAGCTGTCCCGATTTCGAGCCCCGCCTTGGGCGGGGCCGACCGTCTGTTGTTTGCGTTCGCGCCTGAGGTGGATACGGATTTCGCGCTCGCGTCGGGGCAGCGTCCTTTGCGGCGTCGCCATTGGGCTTCAGCGGTGCTGTGTGCACTCGGCGTGCCAACTCCTGCATGATTGCGTCTTTGCTCGCTGCGTGCTTGCGGTCTCGCATGACACCAGGTTGACGTCAGAATGGTGCTCTCGCCGTCGCGTTGACCACCGTTTTTTTGCTTGTTGTTTGTGATGTGTTTTCCGGCTACGTGTCTCACCCTTGTAGAAGTGCAATGTAAGATACCGCTTACCCGTTACGAAAGTTATTCATCTTGAGCACTGACGACTAGGGCGTCTCCGAGTGGCCCCCCTTCCCCCCGTAGACTCCTAGCACGGCAGTCTTCGGCCTGGCTTGGCGGGAGAGATTTCCGGGGTTCTCCCTGGTAACATTAATAGTATATAACCAATTCAGGATAAAATCTCTCCCCCGTAAATTCACAAGGGAGAAATCACTCCCGGTCACTTCCAGGCAACTCTGAATCTCTCCCCGTGTGAAACCACAAGGAATAATCACTCCCATACCACTTCTCACCACAGCGCCCACACATGTCAATTTTAGCCAAGATGAATTAACTTTCGTAACGGGGATGAGGACCCGCGACTTTTTCACACGTCGATGTCAGCCAATGTCAGGAGGAACCCAAATTCGACATCCGAACGGGGCCCAGCATCACGCTCGATAGACACGTCGCCATCATCATTGCCGCCGCTGCTTCGCTGCGACGACTTACTGCGCATCAGAGTTGTCCCGATTTCGAGCCCCGCCTTGGGCGGGGCCGACCGTCTGTTGTTTGCGTTCGCGCCTGAGGCGGATACGGATTTCGCGCTCGCGTCGGGGCAGCGTCCTTTGCGGCGTCGCC